GAAAGAAAGAAAGAAAGAAAGAAAGAAAGAAAGAAAGAAAGAAAGAAGAAAAGAAAGAAAGAAAAGAAAAAAAGAAAGAAAAAAAAAGAAGAGAAAAAAAAGGCTTAAAAACTCCTGACAATAAGCAATTCTTCATGGAACAAAACTAGTACAATAGCCAGCCTTTGATCTTGCCCAGCTCCTGTTGCCAATTGTATTTTGTCACCATTGGGCTGTCACGGGCAAGGGAGCACTTTTGAATTAAGCAGTCTACAACAATTTAGTGCGCAGTGGCTTTGAAGTGCCAACATCAGTCAGGCCAGGGACTAACTTTTTTCATTAAAAATTTTTCAACTTCTCTAAGGGGGCTTTTGCCTTTTTTTTTTTTTTTTTTTTTTTTTTTTTAAGCCTGCCGGGGCACCGAGATAAGTCGTGCCTCCAACCCGTGGCCCCGAGACATCAAAAGGCACTGGGTCCAGTAAGGCCTGAGGCAGCCGTCATTAAGCCCTAATGGAGTTGCTTCATTAAGGACCCTTCAAAGGCCCCCGTTTACAGACTCGGAGATTGACTAATTTACACATTGTGGGAAAATTGCTACCAGCCCTGCCCACACCCCGCAGGGGGAGAGACACCCTCTTCCTCTGGAAGGCGGGAACTGCAAAGGGACCCTCTAATTGCCGGCTGCCCGCCTCCAGGGAGGAACAGTTGGACCCTAAATTTTGGAGTGCCCTGAAGTGCCTGCCTGCTGACCCCAGGGTCGCGTTTGTCTGTCCCGGGCGGCGTGGCACAGATCAGAGGCGACCGTGCGGACTTGGGAGGGCCGGCACTCCTGAACCAGCTTGGGTTTGGGTCCCGGCTCTGCCCCGGCCAGCCGGCTGACTCAGAAAGAAATGACTTCACGTTTCGGGGACTCCGTGTCTCTCCTCTGGAGATGGGTGTGGCCAACTGACTTCAGGGACGAGAGGTTAAGATGCAGCGAGGGGCCTGATGTGTGCTGACTATTCTTACCTTAAGCATCAGGACAGAAGAGAGCTTAAGATCAATCATCCCTGCGACAGCGGCCGCCTTTCCATTCCTGTGCGACTGTCCCTCTACTTGAAGATGTCTGCACGCGGGTGGGGGGCCTGAGGTCCACGAACAGACGGTGGCAGCTGCTGCTATGAGCAGGCCTGTGTGCTCTAGGGCGGTACCTCGTGATGTCAACCTGTGTGCTTTTTCCTTGGTCATAAGGGCAATTCGGGAAGGGCACTTTGAAGGGTGCTCTCTCTGGGACAGTTTTGAGTGGATACCCTCACTGTCTGAAAATAGCTCTCGGCCAGTCAAGGAAGTGTGTGTGTGTTTGTGGAGGGGGGGGGGTCACCAGAAGCATCACAAGGAAAACCCTGAGCCAGGTGTGAAGGTCGTCCCCATGCCCCCCTCCCCCCCGCCAGCCTGCCTCTGCCTCTGGCATGCTGGGCAACATCGGCCATACTGCCTGCCCTCTCTGGTCAGCAGAGACTTCCTGGGGGCTGAGAGAGGAAGGGCCGGAAGTGCCCAAAGCCTCTCTCCAGCCTGATGCCTTGAGGTCCTCCCACCTCTTGGCCACGCGCAGTGTGGTCCTGGGGCCGTGGTACCACGTGGCTGGGACTTCGTGAGAACTGCAGGCCGCCTCCCGAATGCGAATCTGCACGTTAGCCTGAGCCCTGGAGATTTGGGCACACGGTTTGGGTGGACGGGGCACTGTTCTAACCCTCCTTGGGGCCAGGAAGACCCCAGTGATCGTCGTTTCACCCAAGGGGTCCAGCATAGCGGCTTTGCCCTGGGAAGTCATGGTTTTGGGGGCCAACAGCCCGACCCCTCCTCTCCCACCCCTCAAACGGGACCCAGCATCTTCCTGTCGGTATCCTGTTCTCTTACTCTTCAGGGTTGCCTGGGAAGCTAGGTGAGGGGAAGGCACGGCAAGAAACTCCCCCAACATTCATTGAGCCCCTACTGTGTGCCTGACATCGTGCAGGGACGTCACACACGGGGACCGCCTGAAGTTATTGGTGGCGGTGCGGTTTTTCTGTTGTCGGCTGAGCAAGAAGGGAGGTGGGGTGACTTGTCCAAGGTCACACCGGCTTCCTCCCAGGAAACCCAGCAGCACCACGCCCACACAGGAAGCCCGGGGTGCCCGTCCCCCCCCCCCCCCCCACCCCACCCCTGCTCCACCCCCAGTCCTGGAGCCGCCCCTGCAGAGCCAGGTAGGGAGGGAGC